TGGTCGAGGTATGTATAATCAGTAACCGCTCGGAATGGTCGCCGGTCCATTCTGAGTTCTAGTGGCCTAATCTAGCCTCTAGAGTGTGCACATGGTCCGGTGTTAGTTTTGTCGGGAGATTTCAGTTATCAGTTACGCGACTTATGTTGCGAGATTCAGTTATCAGTTATGTGACTTCTGTCGCGAGATCAGACCGGTTATCAGTTATCAGATATCAGTTTCAGTTCAGTTCAGTTGTATATGCTTAGTTCATGATATTGTTATTATTTACGATGTATTACATTAGCATGAGTTTCTGCGGAGCACCACTGTTTTAGTGCTCACGCCCCACACCTTTTATGTTTTTCAGGTCGCAGGGTCGGAGATGAGGAGTGAGCGGGCGAGCTAATCAGGACATTTATGATTATTGTATTTTATGTTTTTGCCACGCTAGACTTCCGCTAAAACTTTCAAGTACTTTTTATCAGACTTTGCTCCGACATTAGTCGGATAAGACATTATGACCGTTTGTTTTATGTATCAGTTTAAACTTTAACGGTTTTCAGAAATTAAGTTTTTCACGGTAGCCCCCGAATCAGCTTTCGCAAAATAAGTGTTTTATTTAATTATTCAAAAAATTTGCGAAAAATGGCGTACTCTGATGTAATAGTAAGTCGGGGTGTTACACGTGTGATTAATTGTTCTGAATTGGAGAAAAAGGGTGGTGAACTTGGAACTCAGTTTTTGCCCTGTGTTGATTTGTAGCCCTTGAAACTTTTTGGAGATTTTCTTAATGCCTAAATCCTGGAGGAAAATTGTTTTGTTGAACCCAAAACTTTGTCTTGTGGAAATTTTACCTATCCGAACACCTTGAAATTTTGAAGCATGGAGAACTTTAGACTGCACCTTGAACCGAACACCGACCCTGTCTGGGTGGAGCCACGCGAAGTGGTGGTCGAGCACGCAAGTCGTGCTGAGAGACGTGAGGCTACCGACCGGGGCCGATCGTTGACTCGCACGTGAGCTGCAGCCACCACCACCGAACACAAGAACTCCCCAAGACAGTGTGTACGGTTTTCAACCCTTGACTTTGAAGCTTTCTTCTGAACCTTGAACCGAGAGTTCCAAGCTTCACTGAACCGTTGTGGGGTTTCCCTAGATCAATATATTTCGACAAGTGGGATTTGTTGATTAGAATCCTATGCCACATGTGAGATGATCTCATGTTGGAAAATTTGTAACTCTCAGTGTTGTCGAGCGGTGTCACGAGTTTCGATTTCAGACTATGATGCTTCATAGGTTGAGACTATGAAGAGTATGTTAGTGGACAAGTTTTCAGCGTGACCCGGGCACGGTACTGAAGCTTGATACCACGTGTCGACCCCTGATGGGGGAGGTTTGTAGCATGATGTCAATACACTAGAAGACTGATTGGAGTCTGGTGTGTTGATAGATGTGTTGTGAGGAGTTGTACGGGCGTACGTCGAGAACGCCGCTGTACTGGATCGAGGTGGGTGATCCTGTGTTCCTGTAGGATGCACCGAGGTAGGGTGTGATCCGTTTCGGGAAGAGAAACAAACTTCAGCCGTGATTCATAGGGCCATGTGTGATGCTCGAGCGAGTCAGTGACCTAGCATACCAGTTGGCTTTACCACTAGTTTTGGCGGGGTTCACGACGTATTCCACGTGTGATGTTTCGTGAGAGCGTGCGTGGCCCTGAGCATGTGGTGTGGACTTGGGCGAGTTGCGGGTCGAGTGAGACCTTACCTA